TTCACCAGATGATCCCGATTGCCAAAAGATGGCGGGCGCCTGTGAGGCTTTCATATAGTGAAGACTCTCAATATTACGTGAAAGGTCTGAAGGGGCCCCGAGGACTGACGAGAATTGGGTTTTTTTTAAATGTACGTTGTACAAGGACCTTGAGACATAATAGCCTAGCTTCTGATCCGGTAGAAATTTTCAATTTAAATTACGTAAAGTTCAGCTAGAGCTGTACATGTGATTGGCTGCTAGTCATTTTTTGTGAATGGCAGATATAGAGGAATCAAGACTGGCCACAATTTGTGTGTAGCTTCTACCTCTAGTCACGATGGTAATCAATGCTATCCCGTTGTACCGCCTGCCCCGCTGTACCACCAGCTTCATGCTCGTCCCAAGGCTGATGGTATAATGAGGTTTGACTGTCCACTGTAGGCCATACTTCTTTGCTCACTTCAACTCGTTTTTCTTCAGCCTTGTATGACTATGACTATCTTGGTATTTGTCTCTTCTCCTCACATTTACCTTATTATCAAGATAACTTGTCTTCTTGTTTTCATAACACTGAAAGCTGTTTTTCCTTAGTCTGAGATGGGACAACACCCCCTTCCCCCAGACAATGCCCTTGTGTTACTTCAACATTTCATGCATATTCTGCTCATCTCTACAATCAATGCATTTTACGCTTGTGCCATACAACTGCATTCGACTGCTTGGGTGCTGCTAGAATTTTTTTCTTGATTCCTTTCTGTCAAAACATTTTACGATTTAATTAGTGCAAGGAATGAAGCTTGCAGTTTTATCAGCAAAATGCGTTGAAAGTTTGTTTCATAGTAAAATCATAGAGAGATTAAAGTTTTTCAGAAAACCTGTGTTCATATTTTATCATCCTTCTCTATCCAACATAAAGAGGAAGTACAAATTTTTATCATAACTCGAATGACAAATGCTTTCCAGGTAACTGAGAATGTTTCCGAAATTCGTAATGTAAATGGCCACCTCTATTCTCACCCGGAGTGAGAATAGTGCAGGCGAGTCTTGTGGCTATTCTCACCCGGTGCGCGTTCACCAAATTTTGCGTTCACCCTAAACCACATAATTCTACACTGTGATAACAGAAAAATTGTAGAATTCTGTGCCGTGTACAAACGTTCCATTACAACTGTAGCCTACTAAAAGCGTACAATTTTGTCTGTGGGCAGTGGAGAGAGAGAGAGAGAAAGAGAAAAGAGGAGTAGCGCGAGAATTTCCGGGCAAAAAAAAATGGCGACCCGCGTAGTTCGGCTCGATTCGAAAAGTTAAATGGCCGTAGCATCTTTGTAGACAACCAAATTAATTTACGTTTGTGTTTTAACATAATTTTTAAACTTTGTTTTGGTCTATTTGATCGTCCACACCGATAGACAGTATTCAGAAAGAGACAGAGAGAGAGAGAAGAGGGGAGGAGTTGATCTTGCGAGAACTTCCGGGCGGGTGAGAATAGCCACTTTCAATGTAAATAGTCTGAGTTATAATAACTTGTTAAGCACATGGAGCCTACTGTGGAATATTGATGTGAGCTATACATGTTATCTTTATTATACAGGGATGCCTAACGATTTTTGAAAAAAAAAACTGAAAATGAGCGGAGCTTCACATCTCGCTTAAAACAAACCTTGTAAAGTTTTTCAATGAGCACAAAAAAACCCATCTCTCTTACCTCTTCCCTTTCAAGGGTTTGGAGACTTTGTTTCACCAATTCCAGTAATATTATCTGTCTTGAGAAGAAGGACCTTATATGTCAGTGGCCTTCTTCTTCAGGGATGCCAAATGATTTTTGAAAAAAAACCCTGATAAACCTGAGATTTGGCATCCCTGATTATAGCATAGTTTCTGCTGTATTTCTTTCTTTGACTTTACTGTTTCATAAGTGACATGCACATGTACTTCAATCTGTCCCGTAGATAATAATATTAGTATCTGATGTTTCTTAAATTTGATACTTTTTGCACTGTTTTTCAAAAGAGGGATGTAAGAGATTGTGAATTGAGGAACATCATTTTAGATTGCGTAAATTTTGCTGCCCCGGGGTCTAGAATAAATCAAACCATTCGATTTCCACCCTTTGTCGATAAAGAAGTGAATTACAATGGGATTGCGAGGCAAATGAAATGAAAATTCAGGACTCGAAAAGTCACTATTTCAAATTTGTCTCACACTAGCAAAGAGGCCACTGATAGTATGATACCACAGAGGACACTTGAACAGTACACTCTACTTGAGGATGGGAGTAGGACTTATTTCTAATCATGCCTGAGTCTACTTTCTCATTACTTTTTACATTTTTCATTTCATTTCCGAAGGTGCATTCCAGTTCCATGATGGTTATCAGTCTCTTGCTCAAGAAAAACTATGTGTTTTGTTCAGCATAACGAATGCTGTTCTTTTCATCACTGTGTACATATTTCACAACACAATAGAATCAGGCGCTTGTACATACATATGTCACAACACAATGGAATCAGGCACTTGTCAATTTTTGGGCATAGGCCTATGGAGTTATTGGTCTGGTATCTTCTGAAAGCTTCTTCATTAGTAGACATCTGTCTTGAATAGAAGTCGAGATATTTACAATTGAAGGAAGTGGAGCTCGCTTAGTGTCAGGGGTAAAACTAGTGAGAAAATGGGAGTCAAAGTTTTAAAAAGTGACTTCCAAAGATTTGAGTGTCCTTGCAAAATGAAAAGTAACATTTTTTTGTGCCTTTCACCAATGTTTTAAAGTAAAATTCATGCATAAATTAAATGTCTTTTTTGTGAATGGACATACCAGATGTTGAACAACCCCTCGCCCCCTCCCCCATGAAAAGAAAATCTATAAAAATTGCTCAAGGGTTGGAAAAGTGTCCGTTTCTTCAATTTAATTGTTTTGACGGGCGCCCGATTTCTCCTCTATGCCACACACATAATGTGTATTATGATAGTACATCCAACAAATGAACCGTAGATGTATGCTATAATTTGCATATTTACTGAAAGCACTGAAAGTGGATATGTCGAAGGAAGGTTTCAACGAGATTACATTTTTACTTGTGATACAAACTATGTCAAAACTGATCTGTAAACAGAGGGCATAATTTGACAACAGTGCAACTGAATACAAAGTCCTCTAAGAAATAAGGGTCGATCAAAATGCTGTACAATCAGTTAAAATAACTTGCTTCCATGCATGTGGAGGTATTTTAAAAAATTAGAAGTAGGGCTTTTTCGACAACTGCTCCCTCAGTGTGGAATTCTCTCCCACTGCATTTATTTAAATACTATTTTTTAAACTGGTTTGATTCTTCTTCCTACAGCAAGTGTGATCAGTAGCCACAGTGACTATCTTTTTGCGCATGTGTTCTTTGTCAAATTATAAGAGTATATTTGTAAAAATATTGTTGCGCGTAGAATGGGCCAGTGTGCATGAAACGTTGATACAAGATTTAAATCTTATTTTTTGTGAAGCGAAGTGGTCTTTATTACTATCTTTATTATAATTATTATCATTATTATTATTTGTAGTAGTATAATGTGTTAAAACTCTTAAAGTTAAGAAAACAAATTAATCCTTTAAAGTAAATTTATACTATTTTGACTGCTATGATCAGCCTTTATAGTGTAGCGGACTTAGTGTGGCATAAAATCTTGAGCAATATAGTAACTTTCTTTTATTGTGTTTTTTCACACTAAAATGAGTTACAAAAACAGATACTGCTAGTGCTCGATTTAGATCCATGTAATCTGGCGTCTGGTGCTTTTGATGAACTTGCTTAGAAAAAGAATAAAATTACATACCGGTACCTACCTATCTAGTTTGGCAAACTCGACAGTGACTGCTAGCTCAACAGAAGTTTACCGACTCTAAGCATTTTGAACTTGTACTTGTAACTTTGCTTGACAAGATGTTTTTTTATCATTACCACTTCTTCACTGCCGATTCATTGTGGTGAATAGAGATTTTGCATTGTTGTCATATATTGTCGAGCAAAGTACATTTGTGTAGTCTGGATAATGTCCATTGTATGTGTAAACTTAAGCTTTGCACGTATCACATTCTTGATTGCTTCATAAATAAACTACAATATCTTCAGAAAAATGTCTTTCACTCTTTGTCACGTAAGTAAGTTACTTCTCTTCTTACTGATGATAATGAACTGATGACAATGTACTGATGACATAGCCTTTTGCTAAAAAGTTTGTAACGAATTTGATCTTCTTGTAAAAGTTCAAGTTCTTATGGTTCCAAGAATTCTTCTCCCCCCCCCCCCCCCCCACCCACACACACAAAATCACTTGATACTCACACAACCTCCCAATTTGAAAAATCTAACCTCAAACGATCTAATGCAATTTCATTCAGTACTCTACATGGGGATTCGGGAATGACTTGGAGACAGGGAGAGAGAGAATGCATCTCCCATGCAAGAGGACCACTGTTCACAAGTTGGATAAGCAAACACACAGAAACTAGTGGTGCGAATGGTTGTCTATTCCCCTGACACGGCAATGAGTATGTTAAACTTGGCCTCAAATTCAGAGATACTTGTCATTATGTTAGTGTGTAGCTTGCACTGTATGTTTACCAGGAAGACGAGATTGTTTCAGAATGGTATCAGGTCTGCTGGGGTAATAGATAGTAAAACGCATCGAGCTTGCTGTTGAGCGGGAATTTGCGCCTTACAAATGCTTTCTATTACTATTATTATTTTTTATTATTATTATATTTCACAACAAGTCAGCACGTGAAAAAAAGCTCTATTCACCAAGAACAGATAAGGACAAGAGAAACGCTGTACAGATCACACCTGAGCGTCTTCAGACCACATGTTTGATTGGTCTACATGTTGACTAAAGTTGCACAACTTTCTAAGAGTAGTAGCAAATAAAATACAAGAAACAGGCAACAGAATAGAGTTCCATGAAAAGACTGAATCCTTGTTGCAATCTACAAGGATAGTAAATTAAAAAATAAAACACTATACAGAAAGCCTTCATCAGTTTCAAATTTCTATTTTATTATGAACTAATCAATTTTCAGTTCAATGCCTGAACCAGCAGAGGATGTAAGAACACATTGCATACAACTAACCCGTCCCATATACTTGACTTATTCATTGTAGAATCTGTTTTCTCAGAATCAGATGTAGTATATACACAAAGCTGTCCCCAGGGTTTTATGCATCCGGCATAATTTAGCAATATTTGACTTTTTTAGGCTTAATTTCTTATTATTTTCCTTTATCAATCTTTGGTAAAAAAAATTAACAGAATCGCATAGTTTCACATTTTTGGGTTCAGTTTGCATAATTTCAGAATTTTTTTTGCATAAAACCGTGGGGACATAGCGCTATTGAACCATAAACATGATTTCAATACTTTCATAACACAGCCCCACACAATATCATCCATTACAACACACCAGCCACTGACTTGTTCTTGTACTACATTTCTGCAGTACGATGACAAAACTCCTTTTTTTATTATTCACAGTAGTCTCGAGATGAAGAGGCTTTTTGTCTACATAACCATTTTTAAAAAGTGCTCTTCTGAAATTTGAATTCCAATTTATTAAAAATCTAGTCAGTTTCACTTTGGTTTTTTTCACACAAGTAGGGAGACTAATCAGGCTAACGATTTAGCAAATTAAAAAATTAGGCGCGAAAACTGAAAAAAGGCGTTTTGTCAGCTTACAGCAGACTTGCTACAATCATTCCGAGTCTCCTAAAGAAAATGTCTACCACTTAGGCTGGAACTCAGACTTCCGATTGAAGTTCACAGGTAAAACGTGTCCCTCAAGATACTCTAAGTTACAAGACAGTGACAGCTGCTTGTCTTTGTGATTAATGAAAGCCCGATTCTGTTGGGGGAACTTGGCAGCCAGCTCGTCAAAAGTTTCCTCTCTCTTAGGGACATTTGTAGAGTTCTCTCCAGTGTAGTCTGGGTCCTCGGGATACAACTCGTCACCTGGAACAAAAATTAGGAGCCATTAACCGATTTGAGGTTTATCTATTCTCTCTTCACCAAGACTGTCATTTAGGCATATCTCTCCCTCTCTCTCTCTCTCTCTCTGGTACATAATTACTGTTTACTTTTGTTTTTCATATGCTTTTTTTCTCATTTTGCCCATTTCAGTTTTCATGTACATTTTGTATTCACATTTTTGAGTCGCTCAGTTTATGTAGGCTATATAGTGTCACAACGAGGTGGAATCAGGTGCTCGTCAATTTTTGGGCATAGGAAGTTATTAGTATCATCTTAATTCCGGTTCATTTGACCTGCATTTGGCAAATAAAATACCCGTCTATCTTGGAAAGAAGTTGGAATATTTGTGATTAAAGGAGGTGGGGGTTGCCTGATGTCGAAGGTAAAATTGAGAGAAAATGGCGGCCAAAGTGTGGTAATTTCCAAAGTTGAGTGTCCTTGGAAACTGTAAATTTACACTTTATGAGCCTTTGATAGAGGTTTTTCTGGAAAACTCACACAGAAACGTGTTTTTAAATAACACAAAAAGTATTGAGCTAAAAATAAAAATTCGAAAAAAATTACTCAACTGCAAGAAAAGTGCCTGTTTCTCTAATTTAATTATTTTGACGAGCGCCTGATTTCACCACGCTGCCTCACATATATTTGAGTTCCAATGCAGTAGCATAAATGACTTGAATTTGAGGATATCGTTTAAAATCGTGAAAATTACAAATTCAAGAAGTAGCACATAAAAAAACACTTCTTTAAAATCCCTGCAGTATACAGTATTTCAGGCTTCGCAGTTCTACTTGTTGGCCGTCACCATTCATAGATAACACAAATTCCACATAGCATAAAACAAATTAAGGTAGTGTCTCCAACCCATTCAGATCATTAAGCACACTCAACAGAAAAAGGATGATGTCTTCGGAAAGCTGTACCTGGCAGGAGAAACACTAAACCGTCTTTGCAAGCTATGATCCATGGCATCCAGCGTGCAGAGCGGTGTTTCGAGCGCTGGCAGGCGAGGGTCAAAAGGTCATCCACACTTGCAAAGCGAGCCAGTCGTGACAGTTCATATGTCTGCGGAGGAGCCAAGCTAACCAGACCATGTGAGCAGGCTTTCAGTAAATTGGCCGGATTCATCCACTGTCAGAGGAGAGGACAACAAAAATTTTAACGTCTATGTTTTTACGCCCACATCGACACAGTAATTTAGATCATTTAGGAGCTGGGCTTCCAACCCTCTGCCTGTCAGGGTCAACCCGGTCTGCCGAGGGATAAAACATTCCTGCAGAAAAAGAAAGATAATAAAAATGTTCTCTCCACTCGGGAACTGAACTCAGGTCTCCTGTGAGCAAAAGTGAAGCTCATAACTGCTACACCACAGATGCTAGTGAGGAAAAAACAGAAACAATGTTAACGAATTTGCAGAAAATTAATGTCATGAGAATTTTATCGATGGTATGAGTGAACAGGAGGCCAATGCCAAATAAGCAATTTCTTTTTGGAGGAGACATGAAAATCCCTTTGACAATATCTCTAACATTCTCTGTTAAAGGAGGAGAAAGAAAGTTCGATTAATTAGTATATTATTAATCAATTTTATTAATTAAGGAAAAAAACTTTAGACTAATTGATAGAGAGGGCACATAAAATCATTTTTTCTGGTTTTCAGACACCACCTTTGAGCTCCAGATACACAGTAATATGGACATACTAGTTGAGCAAAAAGGCATTGGTCTATTCCCAACCCCGGAGAAGACAATGTATCCTTATGAATGATACTTTATCTGAAATAAAGTAACTAAAGTGACATATATATATATATGAGTCACGACGTGGTGGAATCAGGCGCTCATCAATTTTTGGACATGTGGAGTTATTGGTATAATTTTAAAGCCTGTTCATTTGCCTTGCTTTCGGTGAAAAAATACTCATATATCACGATTAGAAGTCGAGAGGTAAAATTAGTAGAAAATGGCAGCCAAATTGGTGACTTCCAAAGCTTGAATGTTCTTGGAAACTGCAAATTTACCCTCCTTGTGCCTTTGATTTTGATCAATGTTTTTCAGAAAAATACACACCATATGTTTTTTCATAAAAAAACCGTTATGAGCTAAAAAAAAAAAAGTATTTCATAAAAATTGACAGACGGGTGGAAAAATTACGATTTACTCAATTTCATTATTTTGCAGAGCGCCTGATTTCACTACGATGCCACCAAAAATGTATTACATAGAACTTGGGGCTTACCACTCCATGCACGGTTTCTCCTTTATCTACTTCTATGGGAGGACCTTCATCGACACAGCTCTGAAAGAAAACAGTGTCAAACCTGTGACTTTTTTTCAGCAGAGGAGTGAGCCAGTTGGACCATTCGTACAATGACCAAATATCGGGAACAACTTCAAGCTCTCTGCACATGTTCATAAATTGCGATGGTTCAGAAATGACTTTCTTCCGCCAGATCTTTCGTTCCTTGTCAGGGATATCAAATATATTGCCTTGAAGAGGTGTTCCAAGACTATGTGTTCCATGCACTTCCAGATTATCATTACTCCTGGCCAACAAGATTCCAGACTCTTCAAATGTTTCTCTGATAGCTGCAATTCTGAGAGCAACTTCACTGGGAACTGATGCGAACTCAGAATCTCGAGTTCTACTAAAGATAGGCGAACCAGGTTTTCCATGTGTGAACAAGTTTAGTAACTCAGTGCTTGTGTTGAACCTCATCATATCTAGCCAGTCCTTAGAAAAATCTGTGTTGTCTACAACTCCTCCCGGAAAAACATACACATTTGGCAAATAAGAACTACCACTGCTCCTCTTCACTGTCAACAGTCGTAAAAGTTCATCTTGCTCAACAGGAGGCTCTGTCTCTTTTTTCGAGAAAAGTTGATTCATGAAGCTTTGTTGAGGCTTGACTGCACCCAGTCGCCGGGATGCTAGGATCAAACTGGCAGATTCCCGCCAGTACTTGAGAACTCCGGCCATACCTAGCTGTGGCAGAATCAGAGAAGACACTTATAACTGAAACAATAAAAAGAAGGATTTGATTAGATAATGGCATAAAAGGCAGTAAAAGAAGAGGAGAGCATGTAGTGTGCGATTTTTCGGTAATTCCCTTTTGCATTCTATAGCGGGAACTTGCCTACAGCGGCCTTTTTCTTCCGGAAATAAAAGTCTAATGGCATTCAATTCAACGAAATGTCAGACTCAAACTTACAAGAAAGAATCCCAGCTTTAAAAAAAAAATTATCTTTATTAAAAAATCCGTTGACCTCCAGCAGAGCAAATCATAACAATTAAATTGGACCTGGAGAAATGGAGTACTCTACAAACAGCACTAATGCTTCTTTGTTTTTCTCTCACAACATTCTAGTTAAAGCGGGACCATCCCTACAGTGGGACCTTACCAGAATCCCTTTTTTTTTGTCTCTATGTAAACTCAATTAATTGTGTTTGGGTTTAACGGGGCAAAGAAAGGCCTGAACTTGGATACAGCGGGAGAGATCAAGCAAGCTCTCGCTGGGGGAAAGGGGTTGGGGGGTGAGGTGGGCTCCAAACAGGCAGTCAGCAGTGCAGCGTTGTGATTGGCCAGTTCAGTGATGAGTGAAGTATGACAGGCGGCAGAGAGAGATGGTGCGGAGAGACACCCTATGTGAGCCACTCCAAAAGTGATATGCCATAGCCCTAGGACAGGCCAAAAAGACAATAAAAGAAGAGGAGAGCATGTAGTTTGTGATTTTTCGGTAATTCACCTTTGCATTCTATAGTGGGTACTTGCCTACAGCAGCATTTTTATTCTGGAATTGAAAGTCCCCCCCCCCCCCCCTCCTCTTCCGAGGTTTAAAAAAAAAAATAGTGGGGGTTGCGTTTAGGCCACCTGGGGGGGGGGGGGGGGGGGCCCCCATTTTAACGAATAATATTATAATTCATTGTTTTGCAGTTAGATTTGAAATTTTCTTGAAAACAGTGGATTTGCGACAGTTTTAGCGGCTAGGCCTATAATGTCACACTAGAAGATATGTAGACCTATGATCTGCAGCAAAAAATACTGCAGTTTCAAGTTTGAACCCCAAAGTCAAAGCAGTGCATTTGTCATCTGTGAGCGAGAGTGAAAAAGTAAAAAATTTGGCTGCCATTATTCCCACCCCGGGTGGGAATAAGTTTTTCTCTTACTCCCACCCCCCTGAGGGGATTTTAAAATATTTTGCTGGGTTTTTTAAAACGAATTTAAAGGTGTGTGTGTTCTTGTGAGCATATTTAGTTTTACTTCCACTTCCATTCATATTTTTGGCCTTTTTCTTTGCTTCCAAAGAGATTGATTAGATAAAAGTGACATTTTTCCCCTATATATAATGGCCTTAGCATTAATTTAACAGCACTCTCGTTTGAAAGTGCTCAATATTTTCAGACCCAGCAGAAAATTGTAGAGGCGTACTAGATCTACTTAGATTTGACAATGTCTAATTCTCACCCCCAGGTTTAGAGGTCGGCCTTCAGCCTGTATTACATCTCTTACAAAACTAAAATCTAGATATAGATAGATAGGAAAGATGAGAAGTGATCTGACCAGGGAGGGAATAACATAGAAAATTATTCCCATCCCACCCCGCGTGGGAATACTCACTTCCAAAAAATTTACCTCCCCCGAAAAAAAATGACTGCAAAAACCAAATGAGAGATTTCGGCGTCATCTTTCATTCTGCCATTCTGCAAGGACTGGGAGGAAGCATATTTTGAATCGAACTCAATTGTGAGGCAGCGTGGTGGAATCAGGCTCTCGTCAAAATAATCGAAGTGAAGAAACTTGCATTTTTTCCGCTGGCTCGTGAATTTTTATCAAATTTTTGTTTTTTGGATCCACACCTTTCATGCCCATTAAAGAACTCATTCCTGTGTAGATTTTCTGGAAAACGTTGATTAAAGGCACACAAAAATGTCAATTTTCAGTTACCACGGACTCTTAAGCAAAGGAAATAACTAATCTTTGGCGGCCATTTTCTCACTAATTTTACCTCTGAAAACAGGTTACCCTCACCTTCTTCTTTTGCAAATATCTCGACCTGTATTCAAGATAAACGGATATTTTTTTCCTCCACATAAAGACAAGTGAAAAAGCTTTAAGATGATACCAATAACTCTACATGCCCCAAAATTGACGAGAGCCTGATTCCACCACGCTGCCTCACAATTTCTAGAGCTAGAGTTTTTAAATGTCTGTAAACAAAAGAATCCCTTCACACCCCCCCCCCCCCCCCCCCGCCCTTCACTCTAGTGCTCTGCAAATAAACAAAAAATCACCAAAGCTTCGAAGCGTGAGCTCACTATTCATGACATTCGAATACCTCCATCGAATGGTTTTTTTTTCTTATATATTATGATAAGCATAAAACCAGACCTAATTGCCACTATTGTACATTCGCTAGCTATACACAGCGGCGTCGAATAGTTTTTTCTTTTATAAGATAAGCCCAGATCTAACTTCCGCATTTCGAAGCCCTGTTGAATTGTTTTTTCTTATATTGTGATAGTCCAGTCTGACTGGTGCTGTTCAATGCTAGTCGATGAGCGCGTGTGTGTTGTTGACATCGTCACCGTTCATAGTGCTTCAAATTTCGCGTAGGGTTAGGGGAGCTCATTGCGACAGCTAACTTCATGAAAAAAACATTCGCTGCGCTTCAAGAGTCAAGTGCCCTTGCTTGAGCTGTCCATAGAGTGACGAGGGAATATTGAATTAGTAAGAGATATTCTCTTTAAAGGACATTTTATAACTCTTGTAGGATCCTCTTATCACTCTGTCTCGTAACCATCAAATAAAGAGTACTTCTGTTTATTTATCTTACTGATTTTAGATATAATGTGCTGCTACAGAGGCATATATCTCTTTTCAGCAATGTGGGGAAAATGTATGCAAAGATCCTAGAGCGACGCACTCGCACAAAAGCCGAACATCTTCTCAGTGACGCCCAGTTTGGTTTTAGAAAAGGAAGAGGATGCACGGATGCAATCTTCGCACTCCGACAACTGTGCGAGAGGGCTTTGGAATACGACCAAGATCTCCATCTCATATTTGTGAATCAAGAAAAAGCCTTTGATCGAGTCGTAAACAGAAACAAGCTATGGAAGATCTTGGATCTGTACGACATCAAGGGACAACTGCTAGACAACATCAGGGCTATCTAAGCGAACAGCAGAAGCGCAGTCCGCACTACCAATGGAACATCGGACTGTTTTCCAGTAACATCCGGAGTCAGACAGGGCTGCAATCTCTCCCCTCTGCTCTTCGTGATCTACATGGACCAGATTACAAAGGAGGCCAATCCAGACCCAGAGGCACTCAACAAACTTATGTTTGCAGATGACCTGGCAATGATGAAAAACAAAACCCAGCTACAGGAGCATATATAAAAACCAACTAAATGCGAGCTGCGAGAAATATTTATGACATGAAGATCAGTATTAGTATTAGCAAGATCGAAGTCATGACAATTAGCAGGAGACGAGACAAAGTGGACATCAACATCAATGGATCCCAACTAAAACAAAGCAGCGAATTCAAATACTTGGGCAGCATTTTCATAGAAAATGCAAAATTAAATAGAGAAATAGAGACTAGACGCCAGAAAGCCAATGTAGTCAGCTATCAACTCGGCCGTTTCCTGAAACATCCCAATATCCCCATGAGCACAAAGGTGAAGCTCATCAACGCCTTCCTTCCAACACACACATTCAGTGCCAGATATGGTCCCTAACAAAAGCCCTAGAGAGGAAACAGGTCACACGTGAGATAAAATGCTTAAGAAGAGCGGTCAACAAAACAAGAAAAGACAAAATAAAAAATGAATTCATATGGGACACCGTAGGAGCAACACCAGTCTTACCACACATTGAAAAACAAAAGGCCAAGTGGTTCGGACGCCTCACGCTGATGCCCTCAAACCATTCAACTCTGAGAGCATACAACATTAAATATTCTGGATGGAGAGCCAGAGGAAGACCAAGGCGACGATTGAGTGAATAGGTGGCAGACACCCTCAGAGCTCACAGGATGTCCCTTCCACAGGCCACCCGCCTTGCTGCACTGCAGACAGACGCCTATGTCTCCCCACGACAACCACCAGTACAAGCGGAAGAAAAAAGTAAAAAGTAAGTAAATGCTCCAATTTTTCTACGTTTGAGTCTGAAAAAAAAATAAGACGAAAATCCATCATGTTTAAGAAAAAAATCACAGGCATTCAAAAGGCTCTGCCACTCTTCGAATAGATCTAGCTGTGAACAACAGACAACAGTGCAAAAATCATGAATGTCGAATAGTAGAGTCGAATGGGCACAGCTCTAGTTCACACCTTAAACACACACACACTCACACACACGATACAGGCCAATCCATTCGCAATTAACCAGCGAAATCTCGAGAATGTTTAGTAAACCGTTCGGAGAAATAGAGTTCAGGTTCATTTTCCCGAGCCTTCGGAGAAATAGAGTCGGCATTTTTTAAAGCCCAGAGGCCCCCCTGAACTCCTCCCCGTTCTAGATCTAGATCTAGATCTAGATCTAGATAGATCTAAATCTAGAATCTAGACCAGATGTCTAGACTAGATTCTAGATCCAGAGAATAGTACTACTATAGTGTCTATAGAACGATGAAAAATAAAGGTAACTATCTATCTATTAATTTGTGGGCCGGCACTATTTCTCCGAACGTTCGGGAAAATAAAGCTGGGCATTATTTCTCCGAACACTCTGAAATCTAATCCTTTCCCGCAAATTTCGGATATTATAAAGATCAATAATTATAGTATAGGCCTATCAAAGATTGTTCATACAATGTGGTTCAATCGGTCCAAAAAATGTCCGCAGTAAATATTTATAAAGAAATGCTACAACTCCAAACAGTTTTTCACTACAGATATGACGTGTTGCCTATGAAGGGTGCTGCTCTTAAACGTAATGTGTTGTGTTCACTCGTGTGCTGTCTAGATCTAGATCAAGATCTACGGAGGGTTATTGATAACGACACATAGAACAGGCATCTGCGTTTGTCACTGCTGCGACCAATGTACTGACACTGGCAAGCCCCTTAATGTGTGTTATTCCATAATTTACATGTGTAATATCCTGTACTTAAAAAAAAAAAAATTACGCACATTTAGGGTTAAAACAGCAAATTTTCTTCGGACAGGAGGACACACGCCCTTATTTGTTAATGTTTGTTGTTGTTTGTGGGCTGTTCTAATTTTGATTTCTTTCTGTTGTGAAACCTTTCTTTTTCACGTTTTTACACTCATCTAAAAATCTCTAGACTAGCTCTTGAAAATTGAAATAGATACAGACCCAAAAATTTGCTCCTGTGTGTGTGCGTGTGTGTGTGTGTATGAGTGTGTCTGTGTGTGGCTGTAAGTGGAGAGTGAGGAGTGTGTGTGTGTGTGTGTTTGTTTTTCGGGCTTTATTTCAGCCTTTATTCAGTAACAGTTCAAAGTATACAAAAATAGAAACACAGGATCCATTCACTCCATGGCTCATGAGTCGTTCGTCTTTTTCAGTTTCACTCATTCATTTAATTCCCCTGTTCTCTCCCGCGGCTCATCCCCGTCCGCATGACTTTCATACCTCACCCCCTCCCTCCAGGCACACACAAAGAAAATCTCACTCATTCCCTTGCACCCTGCGAACCATGGACAATAATATAGGCAAAACACTGCCTGAGCTGCATTCCTTTCCTTCGTGAGCTGTGGACCAGGCCAGGGGGGTCGGTGTCATCGTCTTGTAGTTGCTGTCGCCTGTGGATACACTCGCACATTCTTCCTTTCACCCGCTCTTTCACTCACACTGTCTCTCCATCCACAGCTCAGCTCGTCATACGTTCAAAAGCTGCCCACTGGTCATGTTTAGTTAGTGTGTGCACATGTGCATGATGGTGGTGGGTGTGTGGTGGGTGTTACTGAAGGTTGTCTGTAGGCGGGCTTGCCATGCGGTGTTCCTTCCCAGACCAGAAGTAGAATGAAAGTTGGCGCCGAACTCTCGCAATAAATAAGCCAAAAATCACGAGACCGGAAGCCGGAAACCGTTCGGAGAAATAAAGATCGGCACTATTTCTCCGAACGAATTTGTGATGGAAATGAAGTTGATATTTGTGTTCAGCGCATCAATATTTAAAGATCTAGATCTAGTAGAAAATGGACAACTGGTAGTTAAGTGTGAGACAGAAGGGAAAGTAAAAGACCGCCGATTCTCCTCTGCAGCAAAACAAGTGAAAGCGAAAGTAGACGCTGACGACATTGTTGCTGTTACTGTTACTGTTGCAGACCGAGTGCAAGGGCTCAAATGTTGGGAAACAAACGCTTTGCATGATACCTGGGGACTCAGAACAGCTGATTTTGCATCTAAGTATACAAATTAATTATCTTTCAATGACGTGTAACTCAGTACGATGTTTCTTTCCTTGAACTTGAATTTTTGAAAGTCACATCAAGTATCTTGAACAAGTTAAACATCGAGGTCCCAAGTCCACAATAACAAAACCAGGGAGTGAGAGAAATGAGAGTTCTCTACCTTTGAATCAGAACTCCTGGGGTCAAGTACAGCAGCCTGATGTTTTGAAAGTTTTTTTTGCTGTCGTTTAGTTTGGACCGGCTCAGGATAATAAAAATACTATTATTATTTTTATTATCATTACGATGCTCTCCATCGTACAATGAAGAAAAGAAACGAGGTAGGCCTATTTCATCAACATTTTTTAAATATTTCGGTGACTTGGTTTTCTCAACATTTCAATACAAACTTAGGATGCATAATAAATTGTAGGCCTAGCTAGGAGGCTAGGCTATCCTGATTCTCAATATTATAATCATTTTCTAACATTACATTTCGTTATCATTTTGAAGGAATAATTAAACCTGCGCTAATGACTAGATCTGCTTGTTAAAAATAATTAATTGCCTGTACAAACGACCACTGTTCACTTAACCTTGTGTTTTTTGTTGTTGTTTTGTCGTTTATTGTTTGTTGTTGTTTTTTCCATATAATAATATTATAATATTTGTAGGCCCTACACATATTGTGTATGATAATGACACTGTCCAAGACGTCAGTCTGTCGAAGGCAACAAAGCGACTTTTATTCTCCTCCACAATGGGTAGCTATCTCGGGATAATTTCGACTAAAGGCCTAACTATAAATGTAATAGGATAGGCCTACATAGGAGGACAAGCTGATAATTAGGGTCTACTTGGGCCGTCCGTGCTGATCCCCAGCTGATCGAGGAAAGTATTAGGCCTACATTGTATTACAAGATGGACCACTGGTGATTCGAGGCATTAATTCAGTAAATGACTGGAGCGTAAACCAGATCGAAAGTAGATAATACATAATGTATAACATAGTACAAGAAAGTTCATAGTGTAATTTCTGGAACAGCAATTCTTGTTGGAAATTCTTTCTCAACTTTTCGCTCTTTGTGCAGGTGTGATCTGAAACTCTGATCCCTTCATTTGATCATTTTCCTATCAAAAGTGAAAAGCGAGTCATGTAGATATCTGATTCTTCAGAAAATGGATGTTTTGTATCATTTCATCAACTCTCCGGCCCCCTTTTTTTGTAGATCTATAATTGAGCTTACATGAAAGGTGATCTGATAATCATATGCTGCAGGGGAAATGTGTGTGTATGTGTGTGTGTGTGTGTGTGTGTGTGTGTGTGTGTGTGTGTGTGTGTGTGTGTGTGC